CCCCAAAACCCCAAAACCCCAAAACCCCGGGAAGGGCCAGAAGGAAGGAAATATATAATAGTTATAAAGAAATGGGGAGTAATCAAGTGATTAGTCAGACGGAGTATGGGAGTATAGCAGTTTATGTGGACCAGAAGGTGGCGGTGGCTGGAGGAGTTCTTACTGGCATGGTGTGATTGAATTTGGTTAAAGATTATCCAGCTCAGAGTGTCTGTGTGGAGTTTGAAGGATGTGAGGCTGTTGATTGGATTCCAAATAATGCAGTTGGGACTAATATGAAGTTTCTGAAGAAAAATGAACTCGTGAAAACACAATCTGCTTTGCTTGTATTCAATGAAGCTGGGGCTCAAGCTGGCTACTATGATTTTCCATTCAGAATCTATGTTCCTCATGAACTTCCAGCTAGTGTTTTCTTCCCAGGTATCGGAGATTTCAGATGTTTGGTAAAGTATGTCATCAGAGGTATCTTGAGATCTAGAACAATGGATGTCGAAGACTTAACTTTTGAAAACCTTGTTCCTCTAAACGAAATTCCATCTGGATTTTATAATGAATTTGTTTCGCAAAGGAAAGCAAATGTATGAAGCTGGTTCGGAATAAAGAAGCACGGAGAAGTCAAAATGAATGTAAAGCTTTATAAAAACTGCTTTATGATTAATGGGAAGATTTTTATTGAAGCTGATATTGATAATTCTCAATGCAGCAAACCAATTAAAAGAATTAATCTATCCCTGGTTCAAACCACGTATAAGAAATCAAAGCATGAACTTAAATCTTGCTTAAGAACTACAAAGTGGGTAAACTATTACGAAGGAATAGCAGCTCATGAGTCTACAGGTGGATTCACTAAAAGAATGGAAATAAATCTTGATCATGTAAATGGCCTTTATGGTAAATTTGATTTTGATAAAATTGCAGACTATGAAGAATCTCATTTTTTGCTTGCCAAGAAAATCCAGTCGTCTACAAATGGAAATTTCGTTATTATATCATATTACATTTCAGTAAAACTTCTCTATGAAATCAAATCCACAAAGGCAATCGAACTACAAATCCCCATAATCCTGATGAATTCTGAATCAGAAATTTATCCTGTCTAACAATCCCCAATGTCTTCCGATACACCAGCTCCTCAAATCACAACGTAATAATGCTTATTGCTCAAGAAGATTTATCTGGAACTCTAAACTTAATCCCTTCTCATTTTCTGAATTTTCCAAATTAGCTCAAATTGAACCTCCTCGATCTTACCCTTTCCTTCTCACTCTTAAGATCTGTGAACACTATATTCCCCATCCTACTCCCTATACTCCCATCTTGCCACCCACTACATCTATCTCTCTACCCACCTTCTCCCCACCCCCAACCCCTCTTCCCACCCCCAAAACCGCCCACCAAGCCACAGCCCCGCACAGCCACTTCTAAAAGACTTGCCACAACTTCTTCGAAAATAGGACTCCCCGTTCAACTTGTACTGCACACCACTTGGGTAAGGAAGGCGGCTGAAGGAAGGCGGCTGAAGGAGGGGAGAAGAAGGGGGGTGGAGAAATGGGTGCGGAGTAGGGGAATTAGGGGTTAGATGGAGGGGGAGTAGGGGAGATAGAGTTGGGTTTGGAGGTGTTAGGAAAGGTGTGAGCTGTTGTGGGATTAGAGAGGGAATGATTATGTGTGGAGTAGATCTTAGTGATTTTTAGATTGGATTAAATTGTTGCATAGAATATTCTTAGTTTTGGTGATTATAGCTTAGGTTTGTTTCCAAATTTTCATTTTCTTGTAGAACCCTGAAAAATAATTCACACATAAAACTACTAATATTTAACATTGCCAACCCCTCAGTCATTTTCTGTAATCTCCAGAAATATACGAATTTTCTACTTTAAAAAACCTGTGAATTTATCCCTAAAATTTCTTTAAAATTTTTCCTCCCTCATAAGTTATTTAGATACCTTTTCGTTGCCAGTCATGGCCTAGTCTCTTTGGTGAAGGGCTCAGGATTCTCAGAATTATTTTATATTATTAAAGTTGTGTGATCAGCTGGTTAGACCTGGATTGGGGTTTTGGGGTTTTGGGGTTTTGGGG